ACTCTTCCCCGTGCTCCTGTCTTATCTCTTCCTGATGCTGGGCCGCGTCGGGCCCACGTGGCCTGGACGCTGAGCCCGATAGGATCTCCCGGCTCAGCCTCCTGCCGGGACCGCCAGACTCATCCTCCAAAAGCTTCTGCTTTTCGGGGGCTGCTCGTGCCTGGGTGGGGCTCTGGTCTGCACACCCACTTCCCACTTCCCCGTTCCTTCAGCCCATGTGCCCGACAGCCCACGCATAGGACTCATCTCCCCACCCGCCATCACCCCACGTGCGTTCACGCCCTCACCTCCGCCTCGTGCCTTCGCCTCCCCTCCAGCACCTCCCTCTCACTCTGGCTGACCCTGGCTCCCAGGCCACATATGGTCCTCCCCACTCCAGCCGCCCTCGTGCCCTCCCGCTGTCCTAACACACACTGGGTCAGCCACCCCCCTGAGGGCCTCCAGAATCAGGTCCCATTCCTTCCGGGCTCTCATCGCCCACCATCTGCTCTGCCCCGATCCACGTCTGGTGTGGGATGGCTCCTTTGTCATCTCTTCCCTGAACGGGCTTTATCTCATGTGTGGCTGGAAGTGTTCCCTCACCCACCAAGCTACTATCTTGCTTCTCACCACATCCTCCATGGGGAGCCCTGTGCCTGGCCCACAGAGCTACTCAGGGGGCCTTTGTGGACCATCGGAGCAAGCTGAGCAGAAATCCAACCATCCCGTCCTCTCCAATGTGCATGAAATACTAAAGCAGCAAGAACACGCGTCCTCCAGGCCGGCAGGATCCGGTCAGGGAGGAAGGTTCAGTGTCCAGGAGCACGTGGCGAGGAGCCACAGCCTCTAAACGGGTGCCCTTGGGCTTCCGGCACTTTGACTGTGGCTTGTTTTGGCAAAGGGGAGCGGCCTGAGGATGTTACTCACGTTTCGCTTCAAGTGTGGGTGTGCGTGCCCACACTGACCGCAGGGACGTTAGCGGCACGGCTGCTCTGAGCTTTGCAGGACATTTGGGGTCCCTGGCCCCTCCCCCTGGCTCAGCTACTAAATCCCACCAGTGCCCTCCAGACTTGTGACACCCTCAGCGAGGAGGCGAGTGAGGCAACTGCCTGGGGCTCAACATTTTTTTGTAAAAATGTTTATATTGATTTCAGAGAGGAAGGGAGAGGGTGAGAGAGATGGAAACATCAATGATGAGAGAGAACCACTGATCGGCCGCCTCCTGCACACCCCACACTGGGGATCAAGCCCGCAATCTGGCCACGTGCCCTGACTGGGAATTGAACGGGTTCATAGGTCAATGGTCAACCACTGACCCATGCCGACCGGCTGGGGCTCAAAATTTACAGAGATGCCAACAACACTCAGTAATCAAGAGACACAACGCAACCTTTAACGAAATGAGATCAACAAACCATGGCCAGTGGACTGGCCACCTGTTTGCCAATGACATTCTGTTGGAATCAGGGCCATTGTCAGAGCAAGGGGTCTGGGGCAGGTGATGCAAGTGCCCAGTCCGGTCTGACCTTTATAATTTTGTTATTCTGTCCATCGTGACATTTGCATTCATTTGATTTTGTAAAATGTGCATTAAAATTACTGTTAGAGAAAAATGCAAAAACACAGCCTTGGCCAGTGCGGCTCAGTTGGTTGGAGCGTTGTCCCGTACACCAAAGGTGGCGGGTTTAATTCCCAGTCAGGGCACAGACCCAGATTTTGGGTTCAATCCCCGGTTGGGGCTCATGCCGGAGGCAGCCAAATGATGTTTCTCTCTCTTAAAAAAAAAAAATCAATAAAAATAAACTAAAAATAAAAAACGGAAATGCAAAACATTACCCAATCCTTTTGTAAGAATAACACGGAACATTGTTTAGTGAAATAACCCTTGGAGACAGATTAGTTTACAGCCTGTTTGGATTCACATTAAATAAAATAGTCTTTGCAAGCCAAGGCAGGAGCAGGAAGGCAGAAGTGCGGGGGGCGTTCCAGGGTCAGGCCCCACCCTGGTCTCCCCACAGCAGGGGGAAGGGGAGGGATAGGGTTCCCTGGTGTGGATTATCCAAGGCTACTGGCTGATCTTGCACCCGAAGGTGCCCCTCTATAGGGGCCCCCATGAGACACATGCTGAGTCATGAGCAGAGGACGCTGGCCTTTTGCCTTGCTGGCCAGCCTCGCCTGCTTCCCACTCGGCTTTTTGAAATACTAGAAATTATTTCAAAATGATTTCTATCACTGTGGACGCCTATGGGCCGAGGAACCCCAAATGAGAAAGGCAACGACATCCCTCTTATACCGGATGTGGTTTCAGCCCGTGTCCAGGGTGTCATGGTGCCAGCATCACACACACACACACCCCCCATCCTGGGACTACACGTCCCTCAGAGCCAGAAGGTGAGGGTACGGCCCTGTCCTGGGGAAGGACTCTGAGACCATGCAGCCAGCAAGAGCAGGCCCTGTCCCCTAGGGCCACACATTCACCTTCTTAGCATTCACTACCTCCACCCCATGATGCAGAGGCCTGCAGGCCCTTGAAGCAGGGACCGTGAAGATTTGGGGGTGGAGAGGCGAGATTTAGGCATTTTGGTATGAAAGGTTTTTCCTGAATATCGGGGAAGGTGTAGATTTCATTCCTACCCATCACCAGGCAGCGGCCCCTGGGGAAAGTGATTGGAACTGGTGGAGGGAGGCGGGTCAGCGCAAGCCCAGCCAAGGTTGCTCAGAGGAGCCGGAGGGCGCCCACCCCTGCCAGACCACAGGGTAGGCCCCGCAGCCTGCTCCAGCCGGCTCCTACCTACCGAGAAGTGGGGGTCACTTACTTGTCCGAGAACAGAGAACAGCCCCAGGGTGGAGTTCTGGCACAGCCCGGTGGGCCCGAAGGAGTTTCTCCTGCGACTTGCCTCATGTCCTCTTCAGAGCCAATCATTAACCCCCCGAGAGCCCCCACTTGAGAGGCCATGGGAACAAGCGGCTGGTTGAGGCTGGAAACGCAGAGGGGCCAAGTCCCCAGTCCGCTCCTGCCAGGGTCTCAGGGCAGTGGCCCGGCCGGGGTCCAGCCTCGATGGCTGCACACCCCCTGCTGGGCAGGTGGGAAGGCAGAGGCCTAGCTGAGGAGCTCTGAGGGGCGGGCCTGTGGCTGGGGCAGGCAGGCAGCCGCGGGAGCACCGAGGAGGGCGCAGATGGTTTAAGGTTTGCCCACCCAGGGTGGCCTCAGGTCCACAGCCTCCCTGGATGATGCAACACCAGCTGTGTGAGATGCTCAGCTCTGGGCAGGAGGGTCAGCAGCCTGTCTCTGCCTTTGGGGTCTGAGATGGGCCTGGGTTCCTCGCCTTGATCTCTAGCCTGCAATGAAGCCAGTAACCCAGACAGAACACCCCCCTCCCCCAATGCCACCTCTCAGTCTGGCCACCCGGCCCAAGCCCCACCCACTCTCAGGCCGAAGGCCTTTAGGGACAGGTACCTGGTGCGAGTGGCCAGGACCAGCCTGGAGAACCAAGGCCCGAGTCCCAGGGACAGTCCAGCCTGGTTCAGAGCCCTTCTCCTGTGGCTCTGGGGACATATAGGTCTGCCTGTTTTCTGGGATTCCCAGGCCCTGTTTCCCTGGATAACCCGTCATCTCAGATAGCAGCTCAAATATCACTTCCTCCAGGAAGCCTGCCCTGATTTCCCCACATGGCTGGTTCTCCAGTTCTTCCTCCTCCAGGCACATCTACCCCTCCTCTTGGTCCTTCCCGGTATTGTGTGTTTCCATTGATTTCAAGCAGGAGTTGGCACACTTTGTCTATAAAGGGCCAAACGGTAGCTGTTAGGTTTTGCAAGCCAGTGGGTCTCTGTCACTGCTACTCACCTCTGCTGGGTGACAGGTTCGCTGCCCACCCTCACCCCGGAGCCAGGGGACCCCGCGGGGCCAGCCAGCGCTGGAGTCCAGCTTTATTCGCCCCCACCTACACCTGCTTGAGCGTGACCAAGGCGCCGCTGCTGACCATGACGGCGGGGTAGAGCGGCTCCAGGAAGGAGGC